ATTGTATTGTTAGATCGGTTTGTTTTGGTTTGTGTTTGTGTGTGTTCAAGACAGCGGCGATACTTGAATCTGTGCAATGGTGGTATGCACATAACGTGTTCCATATCTGAAACTAGGAACATCATTGGTACTGTGACAGCTGTCTGACCGTGACCTTAAAAGAACATGTCCATGCCTCACTGATTGTTCGGTCTATTTGCTGATTGTCTTCCAGGGCAATGTATACGTTCTAGCATACTAGTAGCACCTCTTCAACAAAATTCATCATATACACCGTAAAATCTTAAACCTAACCCCTGACTGGTACCGACTGCAATACAGTCTGTGATGTGGCCACTCCTATCGAAAACTGTGCCACGTGCGGCGGCGTGGGACCGACCTGTTTGACGTGCACTGAGAATCTGCGCATCTATACGAACTCTGGCGGAGACGTTTCCTGCGGTAAGTCCGGAGACGCTTTTGTAGGGGTCAAATAACCCACTTTAGGCCTTTTTATTGCACTTTTGCATCTGTAGTTTTGTACTGTAGTTAAGCGCAAGGATCGTTCATACAAGAACGCTTGCGATTCATTTACGACATAAAAGCGTATATCTCCGAACTTTCTTCGCTGTTCGGCCTACGCGCATAAGCAAATGGCGAGTACCTCATTGTCTCGTGCTGTCAACAGCAGTCGACTACTGCCACGATAATCCGTGTGGAGAGTGAGGAGATTGCTCGCTTATCAATGACGGAGCGGCTTACACTTGCAGCTGCTACAGCTTCCATATCTTTGACGATACCACCTGCGTTGGTAAGTCGACCGTAAATTTTCTCACACCACTTATGGATTGAAAAGCTTTGGGTTTTAGCACTGCTCGACCTTCCCTGGTCATGATCTGTTTAAATTGTCTGCGATCGGTTTATGGTACTAGTGGTGTCTGTAGATATCTACCAGATTCCATGTTGGCACTCCGGTTCATACTCGTACTCAACATAAAATTCGCCTCATTCTCTGGGGCGCAACCGGCTATGCATTGGCATTCGGATGTATGAGTTACTTGTAGCTTTTCACTGTATCTTCATTTACTAATCGATGTCTATATCCGTAATACTCAGAGTGCTCGACAGTCATAGAGGACGAGAATTGCTACGATTGCACGCGCGTTGAGTACGAGTACGTTTGCTCCCAATACAACAGTGGCTATGAGATCATTATTGATGACGACACCCCACGTGTATATCCGTGTCTCCCACGCCCAGTCCCACTGTTTCAGTGTCACCGTCGCCGACTACGTCTCCGTCTCCGACCGTGACACTCTCTGCGCTGTGTTCGTTTGTGGATGAACGCTGTGTGGGCTATGAATATATTGATTTCGAGGGCACACCGGAGCTTAGTTGCACTGAGTGCGAGGTGGGCTACTCGACCACTGGCTTCAGCTGTGAAGGTAAGTGGCATTGTGCTGCATATATTATTTGATCTACCCGTTGATCTATTTGCTTTCGTAATGACATATGGGCATTGTACGAGGTCTTAGGTAAGAGAATCCGACATAATTGCTTATAGCAACAAGCATGGCTGAAATGTCCCACATGGTCGATCGTGTTTCTGATCATTGACGGAGAGTCTCCAACATTTCAGTAGCACGAACAGTTATAACCGCCATTACCATTTTTTGCATTCTTGGCAGACGGCACTCCTTCTATTTATGCGGACAATTGCGCCGTCAATGACTGTCATACGAACGCGGCGTGCCTCAGAACAGCCGAAGGCTATGACTGTAACCGTCAGGAACACTTTGTCGGCGATGGAACCGATTGTGCACCATGTGCGGTTGGTTCTGTGTACTATAGCGAGGGTGACCTCAAGTATGTGACTAAGATTGGCGATTGTAAAAGTACGTTCTGATCTGATAACTCGGATCGTCGAAGTTTTCATATTTGTCACTTTCCATACGCATCGATATGGGTGTAGTGCTATCTATACCGCTGGCATTCAGCTCATTTCGGTTCATTTTTGTTTATTTCAACAACCACAGCATGCGAGGAAGCTACTTTCAATTGTGCAAACTGCTCTTATGATTTTTTTTGGGGGTAGAGAGTATACTTGCGATGGATATGTTGAAGGCTTCGGAGTTTTCGGTGACGGGTCCTTTTGCCATGGTAAGCCGCGATTGCACCGTTGGTAGAAATTATTTGAAAGAATCCTGATTTGTAGTCAGGATAATTTTTTAAGTGCTTTGTTTCTAAGTGTCTTGTTAGATCTTGTCGAGCCAGCACTTCACAGTGTTTTCCTCGTCCCTTGTCTCTGTATACCATTTCCAAGCATTTGTATACATTCTCGCGGCTCACAACCCAATCGCAGAATGCTATGAATTGACAGGCAAGGAGAACTGTGCCAGGTGCTCTTCGGGTGTATACACACTTTGCATCAGCGGATATGAGATGGTAGAAGTGGAGGAGGGTTTCATTTGCGGTAAGTTTTAGTATCTTGGACAGCGTCGGGATACAGAACCACGATTGTCATTCCATGGGTGGGCTGTACGCACTGGAGGTACTAGTTAAATTGGAAAATTACTTGCCCATTCTAAAAATAATAATCGTTTTTCTTCTTCTCTCAAGCTTATAATGTCGTGTTATAATTTCGGGGCTTGCTGTACATCCTTACTAGATTTCAACGAGTGTCTGGGCAATAGCCCTTGTGGAGCCTACGAGAACGGCGTGGACCTTGGTAGTTGTACGAATACCAAAGGGTCTTACATCTGCGATTGCGATGACTTCTACTTCTGGAATGACACTTTATAAACTTGTCAAGGTAAGTCATTGAACAGATGCTAAAGCCAACATTATTTAATCTACCCGTGATCATATATGTGATTCTTTTTATCGGCAGTTGCGACCACTGTGCCATTGTCCTCATCACTTATAACAACAACAGACAACTGCGCCGATAACGGCTGCCACGCCAATGCAACGTGCATAGCCACGGTGCAAATTACGCTTGCGGGTGTGATACCGATCATGTCGGCAACGGCACGCACTGTGAGACATGCGGGTCAGATCAACTGTGGTACCATAACGGGGTCAAGGGCGTGTACGAAGGTATGTACAAATGCAATTATAATATTCTTCACAAATCTGGACGAAATTGATATTAAAGTATAGCCTAGTGACCGGGTCGATTGATTGTCTACTTGTGCCACATACGCTCGTACTACAACGGCACTGTTGTGGGAGGCATGCTTCTTTGAATGTTGTGCGATGTTCAATCTGCGAGTGCTGAACTAAACATTGTGTTGCCCATTTCTACACCCATTTCTGTAGATTGCGCCACCGTCATGGAGGATAATGATTGTACGGAATGTACGTTAGTTGCGTCGGTTTCTGTTTACACCCCGTTCCGCCCCTATATGAAACCTCACGGCTCGGCGTGTGCTGGTAAGGAAATACGACACTGCTGTTGATCAGTCAGTATAGGATATACCAGTCATCCATCACACGGTGTAGGGAAGACTTCTTCTTGACTTGGAGCAGAAGTCCTCAATCGCAT